TGCGGTCGGTCAGGGCTTCAAGGGGGCCCAGAGGAAAGGGGGGGACAAGCTTTTTAGTAGGGCCAGCTGGGACAGGACAAGGGGGATGGCTTTAAACTGAAGCAGGGCAGGGTTAGACTGGATCTAAGGAAGAGATTCTTTACACTGAGGGTGGTGAAACCCTGGGAGGGGTTGCCCAGAGAGGGGGTGGAGGCCCCATCCCTGGGAACATTCCAGGCCAGGTTGGACGGGGCTGTGAGCAACCTGATGTGGTTCAAGGTGTCCCTGCTCCTGCAGGGGGGTTGGGCTGGGTGACCTCTGGGGGTCCCTTCCCACCCAAAACATTCTAGGATCCTGTGATTCCTGCCAAACACCCTCGGAGCGCTCCTGGACAAGCCCCTGCTCCTCCTGCCACCTCCCCCCTCAGTCCTTGGGCTCGCTTGGCCGCACCGCGCCGCCGCACCTCAACCTTTCCGCAAAGCAACCGGTCCAGACACCGCGATGTTGTGTCGCCACCGCTCTGCCAAGGAAAAAAGCTCACAGGACCATTGCTTATAAAAGCACACAGGTTTATTGCATATCAATCTCATGTATAAATTCATTGTAGCATTGGAAAGATTACATTTGGTATACATTCCTATTCTACAGCATTAACCTCAAAATCAGCTTTTTCTATTCATTATTTTAAAGGAATTTCTCTACACAAGTACATTTGCCTTTTATCACAAGCATCAAAATGAAATTTGTAAAATCGCTTTTTTAATTATTTTCTACACTTCATATCTTTTATTTCATTATGCTCCCAACAAAGCGATTTCATATTAATTAATAACTGCCAACACTTTTTTTTTTTTTTTATTCCCTGGCAGTTCGAGGCTTCTAGCCTCGGACGCAAAATCTAATCACATATACAATAAGTGCATCTACGGAATTTTTTTCTTTTTAATAAAAATTTCACAAACAGACACAATAATGACTGCTAAACACAAGTCATGCACAGTTTACTTATAAACATAACAGAAGCAATATACAATCAAGAATGATATGGAACAAGCACCATCCTCTTTCTCAATGTTTTTTAAACATTATATGAAACCCAGACATTTACAATTGATTTAAAAAAACACTATACAGTCCTAAAGGAAAAAAAAAAAAAAAACAAACCCTAAATCATATCTGTATTGTAACAATGGGAAAAGGAATGACGAGGGATGCACAGATTTATGATTCTTGCAAGCACAATATATATATGTCTTAAATTACATCTTCTGCAGGCTGGAAATGACATCAGGGCAAAACGTCTCTTGCTTTGAAGAGAGCAACGAGAATGTAAAACACACTGAGAATTACTTTCAGAATGACTTTGTTCACGTGTGAATTGCACATTTGGAAATCAAAGCTGCCTTCTTTTTGTCTTTTTCATTCTTCTTCCAAAGTGGTAATAAGAATTAATGACAGAAGAAAAATAATCTTGGAATCATTCAGTAACATTTTAATCACAGTATCACTCAACACTACAGAGAAAAAGTTTCATG